AACCCCTAGAGCCCACACGTGACTCAAGGCTTTCCTTGTTAGAGACCAAGGTCCACAACTTCTTAGATGAACTGGAGTGTCTCAGAACCTAGTCCCTCAGCAAATGCTTGTTCCTCCAACCCCTTTCCAATTCCGGTTCTGGTGACTTACCATCCAACACTCAAAGCAATGCAATGTTCATCCTTCCTCACTTGAGGTATTGGGGGAATATGGACAGAATGACACACAACATGACTGCTAGCCTCATTATCTCATTTTACAAACCCAGACCAGCACAAACTGGCAGATGCCCGATGTCACTCCTACCCACACTTTTTCTCAGGGCCCCACTGGACTACCTTCCATATACATCTAGAAGTCCCAAATGGGGCTGGAAGTGGGGAGTGTATCCCATCAAGCTCCTGCCTCAGCTAGGCCCCTAGAACAAAGGGCAGAGGTAAATAAATTCTTTTTTTAAAAAAAGATTTATTTATTACGTGTACAGTGTTGTATCTGCAGGCATCCCTGCCTGCCAAAAGAGGGCACTAGATCTCATTAAAGATGGTTATGAGCCATCATGTGGTTGCTAGGAACCTACTCAGGACCTCTAGAAGAGCAGCCAGTGCTCTTAACTTCTGAGCCATCTCTCCAGCCCCGAGGTAAATGAATTTTTACCAGCCTCTAGGTCCTCTCTTAAGAGTTTCAACTCTGCAGTGGACTTTTAAAGAGAATCTAACTAGATGTGGAGAGGAAAGAAATTAAGGGCAGAGGGATGGAAACACACCTTCTATCTACTTGGTTCCTCCTTTTCTTCCAAGGCCTCAATCTCTCCAGCCACCTTGCAGCCCTTGCAAATAGATTAAAAAAAAAAAAATAGAAGCTTACACTATCTAATCTGCCCCTTCACCAGATGTGCCCTGTTTCTGGCCTTTTCTTTCAAGGCTTCTTGACTTTCTTCTCACTCTGGAGGATCCAGGAGTAGGCAGCATCCCTGGTGTTTTAGTTTGCCTATGTACAGTTACCTATTGGATAAATTATTATTCTAAAAAAATGAACTGCTCAATAAAGAGCGGATTTTTAGGACAAGGGGTGGTGAACACACCTCTGATCCCAATACTCAGGAGGTAGAGGCCAGACTGGGATAAAGAGTGAATTCCTGACAGTCAGGGCTACACAGAGAAACCCTATCTCAACCCCCACTCCCACAAAAAGAGGGAATTTTTGTTTCCTGTTGGTTTTTGAGACAAGGTTTCATGTAGCCCAGGTTGGCCTTGAACTCACTGTCTAGCTATTTGTGATCCTCTAGCCTCTTATACTGTGGCTGAGATTCAGAGTCCTAGGGATTACAAGTATGCACCACTATAGCCAGTCTAATGATCAAGGTTTTTTGTTATTTGTCCCCCACCCTCACCCCGAGACAGGGTTTCTCTGTGTAGCCCTGGCTATCCTGTTCTGGTGACCAAGCTGGTCTCAAACATGGAGATCCACCTGCCTGACTCCCAAGTGCTGGGATTAAAGGCGTGTGTCCCTACTTTCCAGTCCTCTTTGAGAATGTCACACAATGTATTTTGGTCATAGTCAATCTTGCCTTCCCCAATTCCTTCCAGGTCCAGCTCCCTTCACCACAACACAACTTTGTGCCTTTTTTAAAGTGTGTGTGTATAAAATTCAGCTTGTGTTACACATATTCTCTTGATTGTAGGGCCATCCACTGGTGCTTGGATTGGTTTCCAAGCACCACATCCTTAAAGAAAATCAACTCTTCCTCTCCCAGTGGAGACAGATGTGGGACTTCACGTCTACCTCCTCACCCCCATGCTGGTGTTTTGTTTAGCTTGAAGCAGGACTTGTGCATGCTGTCACAACTGCTCTGTTTCATTGTGATTACCTACAATCTCGGACTCTTACAGCCTTTTCAGTCCCTTACTCTACAATGAGCCATGAACCTTGTGGGGGGTGGGGTGGTATGAGCTGTGCAGTGCAGTCTTATTCTCTGCACCCTGTCCCTGTCCAGTTGTAGGGTCTCTTTCTTAACTGCCATATATATGTGATTTAAGTAACTTTTTTTTTTTTAAGGCAAAGTGCTAGTAGCTGATAGAGCAGCAAATTCACTTTTCTACTTAGGAGACTAGGACAAAAATGGAAAAACTGAGAACAAATTTTGAATATGGTTGCTTTAATTGATAGATAAAAATAGGTGTTTCCTATTTTAACATCAGATCAAGGAAGATTCATTTCATAAAACCCAGAGCTCTCTGTACCTGTTGTATCTTCATGGTTTTGATAGCAAATACCAAAATGCTACAACAAGGAGCATTCCAGTTATTTTTCCTTATTTTTGGTGCTGGGGATCAAACCCTTGGTTTTACACATGCTAACCAAGTACTTTACCCCAGCCCCACTTTTATTAACTCAATACGTCTCTGAATATTTTAATAAGGCACCATGCTAGTTTGAAGAACATCCCAGAGCAATACAAAAAAACAAAAAACAAAAAACCCACCATTCTCTGATCTACAAAATTAATCATCATCTATCAGAGAAAAAAAAACAATCCTAACTGATTTAGGAAGGTAGCTAAAGAAGTTTAAGAAGATAAACTAAATACTCTCCCCAAGAAATAATATGAGTTGACTTCTGCAAAAGAACGGGAATAAATAAACCTTGTGGAATTATGACAAACAGCAGTGATAGCAGTGCAGACATCCAACCCTTTTTAAACAGAGAAACTCAAGGTGAAAATATTACAACTCTTATGCAAACATCTGGGTTTGAAGCTATACAAAAGAGAAAATCTACATGGCTAAGAGAGAGTATTCTCCAAAAACAAGGTGAAGCAGGACATGGTGGCATATTCCTTTACTCAGGAGGCAGAGCAGGCACATCTCTCTCTCTTGAGTCCCTGTCTGAAACAAACAACAAAAGGACTAAGGTACACAGCTCCTGAGAAATACCCAAGGTTAACCTCTGGCTTCCACATACACACTTGACCTGCACTGCACACAGTACAACCATACTCACAAAACCAAGCAAATCGGGTATGAACCAAAAAATTTACAAAGTTCCCACAGAGACAAATGTAAGAGCATCCAGGTGGGGGGATAGTAACATTTCATATAGCAACCACTGAAATTCCAAACTAGGAAATTCTGTTTACAGGACAACACAACCCATTTCTCTAAAAAACAAAAAAGCAAGAAATGAAAAGGAGGAGAATGAGAAGGAGAAGGAGGAGGAGGAAGAGGAGGAAGAAGAGCAAGAGAAGAGAAGAGGAGGAGGAGGAGGAGGAAGAGAAGAGAAGAGGAGGAGGAGGAAGAAGAGGAGGAGGAGGAGGAAGAGGAGGAGGAGAAGGAGGAGGAGGAGAAGGAGGAAGAGGAGAAGGAGGAGGAGGAGGAGGAGAAGAAGAAGAAGAAGAAGAAGAAGAAGAAGAAGAAGAAGAAGAAGAAGAAGAAGAAGAAGAAGAAGAAGAAGAAGAAAGTGAATTTACGGCTAAAATAAGACTTAACAGAGATATCTGGCCTGAAGAGATTGCTCAGTGGATAAGAGTACTTGCTCCCAAGCAAGAGGACCTAAATTGGGCTGGAGAGATGGCTCAGCGATTAAGAACACTGGCTGTTCTTCCAGAGGACTTGAGTTCAATTACCAGCAACCACATAGTGGCTCACAACCATCTGTAATGAGATCTGGCACCCTCTTCTAGCCTGCAGGCATACATGGAGGCAGAATGTTGTTTACATAATAAATAAATAAAATCTAAAAAAAAAAAGAGGACCTAAATTCAAATATGCATCACCAATGTGATGTGAGAATAATTCCAGCACTAAGGGAGATTGACAAGAGTACCACTAGAACTTGCTGGCTAACAGAAACTCTCTCTCAAGATAAGGCAGAGTGATAAAGTAGGGCCTACAATGTCTTCTCTGATCGTGGTAGACACAGATGCAAGTGTACATACATTACACATCATTATACACTGTATACTTTCAACATTGGCACATGAAAGGTATTTTCCAGGACCACTGAAAAGAGTTGGGGCTGTAGCTCAGTTAATATTGCACTTGGCAGCACTGTATGGGGTGGTGCAGAAGAATCAGATCAGGGTTATTCTTAACCACCCTGGGCTATATGAGATTCTGTCTCCAAAAAAGAGAACCATTAAGTAGTGGGACGCAGGGTCTTGACTAAAACAAATAAACTGAAATTAGACATGCATTATATTAGAATATTAGTTACTAAAACATCACAGGTGAAGCCTAATCCTAGCACTCAGGAGACAGAGGCAGGTGGATCTCTGGGTTTGAGGCCAGTCTGGTCTACATAATGAGTTCCAGGACAGCCAGTGATACACAGACAAACCCTGTCTCAAAAATCAAAACCAAAGCCAGGCAGTGGTGGCGCATGCCTTTAATCCCAGCACTTGGAGGGCAGAGGCAGGTGGATCTCTGTGAGTTCAAGGCCAGCCTGGTCTACGAAAGCTAGTTCCAGCACAGGCTCCAAAGCTACAGTGAAACCCTGTCTGAAAAACAAAAAACAAACAAACAAAAACAACAGAAAATAAATGAAAAAAGAAAATAAAAAAAGAAAACCAAAACCAACAAAAAAGGATATGTTGATTTGTACTCCCACAAACATTGCAGTAGTTTCTATCACTTAAAATTCTTTTTTTTTCTTTAAGGGTTTTATTTTTACTGGGTGTGTACAGGTGCACAAGCTTCGGCTGTAGATACACAGTACACACAGAGGACAGTCTTGAATGCTGTTCTTCAGGAACACTGACCACCTCAGCTATTTTTTGAGGCAGGGTCTTAGACTGGCCTGAAGCTCACCCTAGGCTTGGCTGACTGGCCAGTGGGTCCCAGGGAGCCTGCCTGTCTGTTCTGACAACTAAATCCAGGTTCTCATGCTTTTTATTTAAGGCTTTTGGTTTTGAACTTAGAAAAGTCTTCTCTGTGCCAAGATGGCAGGCACTACAGTGTTGGAAAGAAGAGCAACCTTCACCTTTTGTATATATTTTTTCAAAGCAATACAAATGTTTTATTTAATAGTTGCAGGTCATCATGGGCCAAGTGGTGGACACTCAGGACTCAGCAGGAAGGTCAGTACAACCTCTGAGCCTTCCTTTATGACTCCATTAGGGAGAGCATATCTCCCTCTTGAACGGGACCTTTGACATTTAGGATGATAAAGTGGCTGGTGTCATCCATAAAATCCACACGTGCCTGCATGCACTGTCCCTGTGAACCGGTTCTGCCCAGCATCTTGGTTACCGTAGCGAGCTTGATGGGCTGCACGTGACTTGTGTCCATGATGACGGCGATCAGGCAGAGAGAGTCCTTTGTATATTTTTGTGATGCTTTTGTAATTTTTAAATTATCTTTAAAATTTCTTTAAACGATACATTTCAGTCATTTCTCCATGTAAGATGCAGACCCAATAATTTATTCTGTTAATTTCAATAGGTACACTTAAAAATTTAATGCACGGAGTTAATTTTGACACATAATCTGATATAGTGGTCTAGCTTACATACCAAACAGCCACTTATTTAAACAAAGCATTCCAAAAATCTTTTCCCATTTGATTTGAAATACAGTACTTTCATTATGGAATGAAACTTCAAATTGTTTTAGTTTCTTTCTGGGCTTCTATTTTACTTAATAACCAATCTCTCACTCTACTGTCATTGTGCCAATGTCATGGTATACTAAAATATGTAGCATTTTAATAAACCCAGCTATCTTAAAATGCACCTCTCCCAACCACTGCGCTTCAGATTTTTCTTGGTTCAGTTGAGAGAGAGAGGGAGAGAGGGAGGGAGAGAGAGAGAGAGAGAGAGAGAGAAAGGCAATTTGAGCTGGGCAGTGGTGGCATACACCTGTAATCCCAGTAATCCCAGCACTCAGGAGGAAGATGCAGGTAGAGCTGGTCTACAAAGTGAGTTCCAGGACACCCAGGGTTTTTACAGAGAAACCCTATCTCAAAAAACCAAAAATAAAAGAAAGATAATTTTATTGAAAAGAAAAGCAACAGAGCCTGGCGGTGGTGGCGCACACCTTTAATCTCAGCACTCGGGAGGCAGAAACAGGCAGATCTCTGTGAGTTCAAGGCCAGCCTGGTCTATAGAATCCAAATCTAGAAAAACCCTCTCTCTCGAAAAAAATCTAAAAACCAAACAAACAAAAGGAAAGTGGGACCAGGAACAAGATTAGTCCTTCTGGGCATTCAGTGTCTTGGTGGAGATCTTGTCATTTTCAATGAGCACAATGATACCCACGTTTGATGTGGCATCCTGGAGGTCCACAGCATTCAGCATGGCTTAGGAAATAGTTTCAAACAGATGTACTGGATCCATGTTGGGGTCCCAGAGAGAATCAAACATCCCATACATTTGTTCAGAGCAGGTACCACTAACCACAAAGTCATCACCATGGGCAGCCAATGAGGTCTAGAGAGCAAATGATGGGCTTAAAGGTATTCAGATCCAACCCAATGGCAGGCTCTGTGTAGTAGGGACCAAACTGTTTGTCACAAATAGGTTGGCCACCATGTTCATGAGGATATAAGACTCGATATGACCTTCCTTCAAGTCATACAGGTTCAGTTGGAACTTGAGGCTCTGGGCAACTGTCTTGATGTCAGTGGCCAACCACATCAGACCTATATAGAACCTGTGACCCACTGGAAAAATCTTTTGGAAATCTGTGGTCACCATCTGAGCATTCCCACCATTCCCACCATTCCCAAAAAGCCTGTCTGTACTAAAATGGCCACACAGTTCTTCTATTATATGACAAGATAGACACGACTGTGCTGTAGTAGAACTCCAACTGCCACTCCCTCAGATAATTTAGTCCTATACTAAGTAAAAAAATTAAGGAGTTGGAGAGAGATGGCTCAGCAGTTAATAGTACTGCCTGCTCTTTCTTCCAAAGGTCCTGAGTTCAAGTCCCAGCAACCACATGGTGGCTCACAACCATCTCTTCTGACCTGCAGAGATAGGTGTTGGCAGAACACTGTGCAAATAAATCTTTAAGAATCTTAATAAATTAGTTAATTAATTTTGAGAAAGAGCTTACCACTGTTGTCCTGGCTAGCCTTAAACTCTGCAATGATCCTCCTGTCTCTTCCACCTCCCTATTCCTGGAATCACAGAATGAGTCACCAAATTCAGCTCCAATTTACTTTCTAAGTTTTTGCTTTTTTGCTGTTGAGACACAGTCTCCATATGCAGGCTAGGGAGGCCCTGGATTTGTGATCTTCCTGTCTCAGGTCCTCAAATGCTAGGATTCTGACACCTAGCCTTATTAATCAATCTGTACACTGTTTTATAATTTTTCAGTATGCTCTATCCATTTCTATGCCAAAATGATTCCACCCTTGGAGAAAAACATTAGGAATAAAAGCCATTTATTTTTTAGGATATCAACTTTTATATAGCCACCTACTTACGACTGGCTGTAAATTCATTCATGTATTTAGTCAGTTTTTCCTACCACAGAATTCAGTAGCTATCTCCACCTTCTGTTTAGCTTTCCTACAAAAATCTCAGACTACTACTCCTTACCCTGAGCAAGTTTCTTAGCTCCTAATCCATGACAGTCATTCCTTGCAAACTTACCTATACAAGTACCTCAGATCACCACAACCTGTCTCATTTGTAGTTCCGGCTGTTCTGGAACTCATATAGATCCACCTGCTTCTGCCTCCCCAGTGCTGGGATTAAAATGGCTTGTGCTACACACCTGGCTAAAAATTTTATTTATTTTACCTTATATGTATGAGTGCTTTCCTTGTAAATACGTCTGTATATCATATTGCTAAGGATGGTTGTAAACTACCATGTGGGCACTGCGAAGTGAACCCCAGTCCTCTCCAAGAACAAGTGTTCTTAACCACTGAGCCATTTCTATAGCCAAATATATGCTATTTTAAAAAGCAACTTAAGCAATGTGATGGTGGCACATGTCTTTAATCCCAGCAATCAGGAGGTAGAGGCAAGTGGATGTCTAAGTCAAGGCCAGACTGAGAACAGCCAGGGCTAGGCAGAGAAAAACCCTGTCTTCAAACAAGAAGGGGGGGGTGGGAGTGGGGGAGAAAGTTAATTCAAGGCCATACCAGGCAATTTAGTGAAACATTGTATCAAAATGAAAATTTTGTAGCCAGGGTGGTGACGTAGGCCTTTATTTCTATTTTCTTTATTTTTGAGACAGGATCCCTCAATGTAGTTCTGGCTAATTTGGAACTCCACATACATACATACATACATACATACATACATACATATATATATGTATATATATGACCTGTGCCTCAGGCTTAAATCCCAGCGAAGCAGAGCAGGTTTATCTCTGTGAGTCAGAGGCTAATCTGAGCTGGGCAGTGGTGGAGCCTTTAATCCCAGCACTTGGGAGGCAGAGGCAGGAGGATCTATGTGAGTTCGAGGCCAGCTTGGGCTACAAGAGCTAGTTCCAGGATGCTACAGAGAAACCCTGTCTCAAAAAACCAAAAAGAGGCTAATCTGGTCTACAGATACCAGAACAGACAGGGCTACAACAGTTGAAACCTTTTCTCAATACTCGACCTCCCATTTGGATGGCAAGGCTTAAACACGATAATGTTGAGAGAGGAAAGTACTTAACACTGCTCCCAGCTCAGCACCAGGGTTCACATCAAGTATCTAACATAAAATAGTACAGTGTACCCAAAAGAAGAAAACTGAACCCCATGAAGACCGGACACATGCCAAGAACGCTAACTCCTCACATTAATAATCTTCAAAGGAAAAGCTTTCCTTTTAGCGAAAATAAAAGAGACTAAAGTATTTCGACAGAATTCAAGTAGCAAAAGTATCCTTTCCTGGTTAGATTCCCAGTGATTGGCTCCAAAAGGTGTACACATCTGCATACGATTTAATAAAACCGATAGAAATAGCACACGCTGCAGCAATTTTCCAGGTTTGAGACTAGCAGACTAATTTGTCCTTGGGATAAATATGGCTTAAATGCATAAAATTAACATTAGTTACAGACGAAAGTAAATCAGTGTATCAAAACCATTTGGAAAGGAGGGAGGTTTTCTTCTAAATCCAAAATATAATACACGTTGTCAAAATGAATCTTCTCCAAATACTTAGGAGGGAAATGATTTTAAATGTTAGGAGCTGGTGCAAAGCAGCAGGATTTTATAGACTGCAGTATGTCAGTTGCTAATTCTAAAAAAATGTTCTCACGCTGGAAAAAGCAGACAATCTCTCTAATAAAGCAAACGCCCTAAAACACTACACATACATAAATGAACGTACACATCTGCTAAGTATCAAATTACACTACTGGAGACAACTTACTAATCAAGTAGTATTTAAAAATCTAAAAATAAAAATAAAACCTCTGCCGGTCATATTTTGCAAAGGTGGCTACTGCAAACTGGAGTTCTCGCTGACTCAAAGCAAGAGTCAGTGAATGAATCCAGTGTTCACACTCAAATGTGGGGAGAGGAAAAGGGAGGCTCCGAGTTCCCAAAGTTCTCCTCCCTCTCAGAACACTGCAAAAATTGTCCACGTCTAAAGACACCTACCCTTGAAACTCCTTGAAGAGCAACTTGGAAGAATTTCAGTTCAGATTTTTGAGGGGGAGCGATTTAGAAATGCTGCAAAATTGCAATTTTTACATACGTGGGCATAATTTCTACTTCTTTCCTTCGGTAATTTTCACTGCGTCCTTTCTAAAGAGTCTGTCCACACTCCCCTATTAATAAAATCCCTAACTCAATACCTAGTCTAAGCCGAAAAATCCAAACAAAACCTGAAACCACACAAAAAGCTTTCAAGAACATGCAAATGTAGCCCACAGACCGTTTCCAATAATCCCTAAGTAAATCACTTCGTTCTGAGGGAAGAAAGGAAAAAATAGACAGAACTCCGATTAGCGGAGGGAGGAAAAAATGAAAAGCAGTACGGGGGGGGGGGGACGAGTGCCGGGGAGAGCTGGGGGAGGATCACACACACACACACAAAAAAAAGTCCAGCTCAGGCTGACACTAAAGAGGACAGGGCGGAAGATACCCCAGGGACAGGAGGACCGAATGGGACCGGGCTGAGCCGGGCATTCGCCGTGGGCCTACCCGGGGCCTCTGAGAGGATGGCGGGCAGCACTCGCACAAAAACCCCCCAGGATCGCACAGCTTGGGAGGCAGACGCGGGGATGGCGGGGTATCGGAAAGCCGCCACCGCAATCGGTCTCCGAGGGGACCCTGCCTCGAGGGCTGCGGGCCCGGCCGCGGACGTGGAAGGGGGTGCGGCCCGGGGGCGGCGGCGGGGTCCGAGCGAGCAGGTCGGTCGTACCTTGTAGTAAACGTCGAACTGGATATTCTCCGGTAAGGAGCGGATGTCGCGACGCGAGCGGATGTAGTTGTCCACGACAGCGGAGATGGCGGTGTTGTAGAGCGTCTCGGGGATCCACTCGAGCTCCACGGCCGCCATCTTCCCTCGCTCCTCCTCCGCCTCCTCCCGCAGGCCCCCGCCTCCCTCCGTAGCGAACCCGTGTGCGGCCCCGG